ACCCCGTCCCGCACCGAGGGTCACGGCCCGGGCTCCCCTCCCCCCCGGGAACCCCGCGCTAAGCGCCGCCCGCCGGCGGGCCCCTGACACGCAGTTGCTCAGGTAACCCAGGCCTGCGGCGGCGGCGACGGCCACAGCGACAGCGGCCACCCAGCCTGCGCCTCCGGGCCGCGGTGCTGCTCCACTGCGCTCTGTTCTAGCGTCAGGCTGACCGAGGCCCCAGCACCGCCTTAGCCGCCCGGGAGCCGCCTCGGGCGACAGCGGCCAGACCAGCTTTGGCCTGGGGGCGCGCGCGCCCAGCCCCCTACTCCCGACCTCCCAGGCCCCGCCCTCCCGCCGCACCTCACAGCCAATCGGCTTCCGCCTCCCTGCGGCTTGGGAATCCGCGCGCTCCGTCCCCCGTGCGCAGCGGCCCCTGGCGAGCAAATCCAGGTACTGCAGACACCACGAGCTCCTGCGAGGCCCTGCCCCTTTGCGCAGGGTGGGGGAGTGCAGCGAGGGCCCGCCCCGGAGGAGGCCCATTAGGGCTGAAAGTGTTTTCAGAAGAAATTCTGCCAGAAAGTAAAATGAACTGTCCACGCCACTTTAGACTAAACTCTCCTACATATCCCCGGAGTCAGGGCTAAAAGAGTCCATCTGCCTTCTGACCTCATCCTCCCTGCCCCGCCAAGCTGTCGGATGCCCTAGCTTAGCTTTCACAGGCGGATTTGCTCCCTGCCCCTCAAGTCCCCACCTCCTGGAGGTTTGTGCGGTCGGGCCGTGGCTGGTCCCTTCCTGCACCTAACTCTCCCAGCTCTCTGAGTCGGTTGGAGGAGGTGACAGCGCCGACGTGAGAATGTGTGTCCCAGAGACGAGAGCCTCCCCTGGGCCTCCTTCAACAAGGCCTGCACTTCCTGTTCTCATGCATACCTCGTCAGCAAGTCTTTACTGAAACCTCTGTGCCCTACCCTGTCCTTGGCACCAAAGGCAGGAGAAAGGATTAGGCCCTGTCGCTCCTCTGGCTGACAGTGCTAAACCAGCTCCTGTTCTGAGCAAGCTCTTTGAAGACCAGAATGTGGATTTGCCTAACAGCTGCTTGGCTTACGGGTTAGGCTGTTGATATAAAAATATACGTCTCACGTCATCAACTACCACTCTCCCTGCTCTGTTAAGCTCCTATCAAACTGGCCTTCTTTCCCTCTGGTTTGCAGTGCTGGGGGTAGAACCCAGGGCCTCAGGCAAGCTAGGCAAGCACTCTTCTCACTGCCCATGGTCTTCTCTAAGTGCCACAAACTTTTGTATCTGCTGTGGCTTCTGCCTCGAAAACTCCTCCCTGCACCTGGCTCTTTACAGAGCTAGCCTCTCCTTCCTCCACATACAGGATGCCTCCTTAGAAATTCCTACCCAGAATTGTGTCATAGGTGTGTCTGCCGCTCCCCAATTTGTGAATGTGAGTTTTCAGAGTTCATTTGCCCGTATGACCCTACACATAGAAGGTACTCAGGAAAAGCTGGTTGACAAGAAATAGTTCATTTGATCCACAGAATTTTTTTTGTTTGTTTGTTTTTTTCCCATACCGGGAATCGAACTCACGACCTCGCGCTTGCCAGGCAGGGGCTGTGCTGCTGAGCTAAATCCCCGGCCCCCCCTTTTTTTTTCTTTTGAGACAGCGTCTCATTGTGTAGTTCAGGCTGGCCTTGAGTTCACTATGTAGCCTAGGCTGGTCTCATGATTCTCCTGCCTCGGTCTCCTGAGTGCTGGGATCACAGGTGTGTGCCACCACACCCAGCAACCAAATATTTATTAACAGCTATGTACTAGCAAATTGCCAGAACAGAAGTCAAACCTCTCCCTGACCCAAGACCTAGAAGACTTATGCTCTGAACAAGGGGTCTAAACCCAAGTAGCACAGCCCATAAGCAGATAATGTGACTGAGAGAACTAGGCAGGAGTAATAGGGAGCGGTGGCAACTTCGGACTGGAAAGCAGCCAGGGTGGGCCCAGTATTGAGAGTCCTTAAGAGAAAATAGACATCTGGATATTTACTTATTTAGGGCTTTTTGTTGTTTGTTTCTTTGTTTCTTTGTTTTAGATAGGGTCTTGCTATATAGTGCAGGCTGGCCTTGAACTTACTTATGTAGCCTAGGCTGGCTTTGAACTCACTGTGATTAATCCTCCTGCCTCAGCCTCCCAAGTGCTTGGAGTATAGGCATACACCACCACACCTGGCTATTTTGGGATTTTTGAGACAGGGTCTTACCATGTAGTTCGGGGTTCACTATGTAGTCCAGGTTGGCCTCAAACTTGCAGTGATTCTCTTATCTCAGCCACTGAGAGATGGCATTACAGGTGTACACCACCATGCCCAGCTCAGAAATCTGGACTTTTATGTAACATATTACTTTTTTTATTTTTTGTTATAAATTGAACACAGAGCCATTGCACTGAGCTACATCCCTACCCCACTCCCTTTTCAAGACAGTGTCTCACTAAGTTGCCCAGAATATGCCCAGTGACATATTCCTTTTTTTACTATTGTGCAACTAACTTTAAAAATACAAGACCCAAACCAAGCATGATGGTGCATGCGTATAATTCTATCTACTTGGGCGGTTGAGGCAAGAAGATGGCAAGTTCAAGGTCAGCCTGAGCAGCACAGCAAGAAAAATTAAAAATAAAAGTATAAAACCCATGGCTGGGGATGTGGCTCTGTGGTAGAGTTCATGCTTTGCATCCACCAAGTCTTGGGTTTGGTCCTCAGCACCACACAAATAAATAAAATATAAAACCTTGTATAGCCTGATGTGGTGACACACACACCTGTAATCCCAGCACTTGGGAGGCTGAGGCAGGAGGATCCTTGTGAGTTTGTGACCAGCCTGGGCTACAAAGTGAGCTCAAGGCCAGCCTGAACTGCATAGCAAGACCCTGTCTCAAAAAGGAAAAAAAAAAAAAAAACCCAGCCTGAACTACATAGTGAGACCCTGCCTCAAAAAAAAAAACAAAAACAAAAAATAAATAAATAAGTAAAATAAAATAAAACCCTGTATAAAAAAATTTAAAAATAAAACCCTGTATAGACCACATAAAACACATCTGCAGCCCAGATTAATCACTCACTATCACGCTGTCATTTTTGCCTAAGCCACCTAACCTGTGCACTCATTCAGTTAAGAGAAAATGCAAGAAAAAAGCAAAGTAAAGCATGCTTAACACAACTTCCTTTAAATTTAAATAAATTGTTGCTCTTAGCCACCACATGACTTATTTGGGGCGTGAGTGCGTAACCTATTTCTTACAAAAAGCCTGGGTCCCACAAGCAAGAAACCATGGTTGGTTACCAATTCACACCAAGACCTTGAACTTCTCAGAGCCTGTTGCATTTCCTCTGACGTTAAAATGGTGTCTAGGAGCCAAAAATAGAATCACCAAATGTTCCAGCAGTTCTACCACTGGGTATATGCCCAAAAGAAACAAGAGCAGGGTCTCAAATATTTGTACACCCATGTTCACAGCACTGTGGACCAACGATGACAACATGTTATGAACCAGAGGTTATGTTTTCTTTTTTTTTTTTTCTGTCTTTTTGAGACAGGGTCTCCCTAAGCAGTTCAGGCTGACCTTGAGCTCACTTTGTAGCTCAGGCTGGCCTCGAACTCGCAAGGATCCTCCTGCCTCAGCCTCCTGAGTGCTGGGATTACAGGCATGCACCATCACGCCCGGCCAGAGGTTATGTTTTAGGGGGGAAAAAACATCCGAAGTCACCCTTTCCTTCGGTACTTTCCTGCTTTGTCATCTCTCTAGTCTTCTGCTATACTTATAGTATTCATATAACTAGAGTTCGATAATCTAATAAGTATTTCTCATCACCATTAGCCTCTGAGCTCATCAAGGTCTGCATTTCATTCGTTTCATAGTCTCACAGATCAGGTTCCTCCGGTACACAAACGTTTTGTTAAGCAAATGAAGAACTGATCTGTGTTCTGTACAGTAGCCTAACTGTCCTTCCGCTGCACTCCAGGACTTCTGCTCACCAGTTGCTTTCATTTAGAAAACCAAAGAAACTTTGAAAGAAGAGCAATCAAGAAGAGTCAGACTTGCTCCAAAAAGTTTAGCTCCTGAGTTTTGGCTATGTTATTAATGGCGCTCCCTGGTGTCCAAAAATAGGAACTACAGTTATCACTGAGAAATGGGCTGGGTGGGAAAGCAAGAGAGTTTGGCTTCTACAACAGAGGATCATCTCCACATCCAGGATCAACTCTAGAATCTTACTGCCAATGTTAATTTATTTGTTTAATAGCTACTTATGTGTTATACATCTATATATTACAACCTAGTTGCTACCCTCCAAGAGCTCAGTTTTTAGGAAAAATACTTATGTGTGTACAAAGAGATAATTAGTACTTGTTGATAATGTCTTGAGCGGGATTGGTACAGGGATAGGTGAGGGAGCACAGAGAAGGGACAAGTGACACCCTAAAGTAGCTCAGGAGATTTTGCAGATGCACACAGACGGGGGAGGCAGGAGGTAGAAAGTGTCTGGTATTTAAATACCTTGCTGAATAAATAGCAATCATACTGTTCTGTACTCATGCTGGGCATGCTGGTGTACACCTGTAACCCTGGCACTCAGGAGGCTGAGGCAGGAGGGCTGCCACAAATTGGAGGCCACCCTGGGCTACACAGTGGGTACAGTGCCAGTCCGAACTACTTAATGAGACCTTCTCTCAAGAAAAAAAAAGCAGGGAGAGGATTCCTGGAGCTATCCAAGATCTGCTGTGTAGCTCTGGGCAAGTGACTCAACCTCTCCGGCCTCGATCTCTTCGTCTGAAGAAAAGCGGGGGATAATCCTGTGAAGTTGAGATGAGTTAATATGTGTAGAACAATTAGAACAGTGCATACCATAATGTACTAAATAAACATTAGCTCTTACCGTTCTGCAAGGAATTTCAGAACCATCACACCAAGTATGTGGAGCTGGGCATGGTGGTGCACGCCTATAATACCAGCACATGGGAGGCTGAGGCAGGAAGATAGCTATAAGTTCGAGGCCAGCTTGAACTACATAGTGAGACCCTGTCTCAAAAAACCCAAAACAAAACAAAACAAACAAAGATCAAGTATGTGTAATTTGCAGAGATCATTCTGGTGATAATGGAGAAGACTGTAGAGATAGAAGCTGGAGACAAATGAGGTGGCTTGAAAACCCAGCTCACTTTCTTATTGGATGTATGACCTTAGGCAGAACCTGAGAAGTAATTATGAAGTCTGACTAGGCAAAATTGATGGGAATAGAAAAGGATCCAGATTTGAGAAATATATGGTGATTATATGACTGGGTGAGAAAACAAAACCAATTAAAATTTCATAATATCCAGGTATGGTGGTGTGCGCCTATAATCCCAGCACTCAGGAAGCTGAGGCAGAAAGATCACCTCAAGTTCGAGACAAGTCTGGGCTATGTAGTGAGTCCAGGCCAGCTTGAACCACATATTGAGACATTGTCTCAAAAAAAACAAACAAAACAAAAGATTTAATAATAGTTGGGCATGATAGTACTTGCCTATAATCCCAGCACTCAGGGAGGCTGAGGCAGGAGGATTGTTGCAAGTTCGAGACCAGCCCAGGCTACAAAGTGAGCTCAAGGCCAGCCTGAACTGCATAGCAAGACCCTGCCTCAAAAAGACAAAAAAATAATAATAATAAAATAAATAAACAAAAGATATTATTACATGCTAGGTCCCGATATTATGTTAAGCATGGTACATTCAATCATTCATTTAACAGATATTTACTGAACAAAGTATTTAAGTACCAGACACTGTCCTGGGCACTGAATAAAATAAGCAAGTCTTTTTGCTCTCATAAAGCTCACGTGTTACACCATATAATTAATATCCACAGAAATCTTATGATGTTGATCTATTTTACAAAGAAAAATAGTAAGACTCTGGTAAGTCAAATTCTCCTGTCTGTAGGTATAGTAATATTATCTGCTTTGTAGTGTTGTTATATCAATTTAGTCAATATATTCAGTAATTTAACCAGGCATGGTAGTACACACCTGTAAACCCAGCACTCTGGGATCCTAAGGTAGGAGAATGACAAGTTCAAGTGCAGACTGGACAATTTAGCAACTTAGTGAAACTGTCTCAAAATTTAAAAGATAACAATAAAATAAAAAATGCTCGGGATATAGCTCAATGCAAAGGCCCTGGGTTCAACCCCCTAGTAAGGAAGAAAACAGTCAGGAACTTGACCAGGGTTACACAGCAAGTAGAGGGCAAATATGAAAATTAGAGAAGGAAAGGAAGAGACATAATAGTGACTCATTTAGGCATCTTCGAAGTTGAGTTCTTCTTAGATCACCAGGATTAAGGAAGGAGGAATTTGCCAGAGGGCATTATGCCAGATGACCTGGGTACCACACGGTCTGGAGAATCTCGGCCACGCAAACGTGTTCTGGAGGACAATAGGACAACTATTGTTCTGTCTGTCTAGGAGGAGGAATTGTCCTGGAGGATGGGATTGCTATTGTTCCCACACCCCATCTACTTAGTTCTTCCAGAGAATCAAGAACAATGGGTTAGAGGACATGACTGTACAGTGTTTAATCTGTTACTTCCTTTGTTAGTTCTTTCTGCTGCCTCATCTTGCCCACTAAAGCCCAGAAAAATGAAACACTGATCTTGTCTTTGACAGTACTGATAAGGAGAACTAAGGGAAGAAAGACAGGGAGGAGACACCAGGAGTCCAGGAGAGACCCGGGTGGGTGTGGAGGTGCACACCTGTAATCCCAGCACTGAGGGAGACTGAGGCAGAAGGATCACAGTGAGTTCGAGGCCAGCCTGGAACTGCACAGTAACTACATAGTAAGTAAGTAACTACACAGTAACTACATAGCAAGAACTACATAGTAAGTTCAAGGCCAGTCTTAACTGCATAGTAAGACCCTATCTCAAAAAAAAACCCTGAAAACATCATTGGGGGATGGAAATTGATGTTTATTGTCATACCTTTAGGCAGCTTGCTAGCCACTCCATATATATGGCTTCATTTAATCCTTGCAATCCCACAAAGCACTCTGTATTTTTCATTTCCATTATATCTAATTTTTTTGTCTTTCTTTTTTGTTTGTTTGTTTTTGTTTTTCTGAGACAAGGTCTTGCTATGCAGTTCAGGCTGACCTTGAGCTTACTTTGTAGCCCAGGCTGGTCTCAAACTTGCAATGATCCTCCTGCCTCAGCCTCCCGAGTGCTGAGATTACAGGCCTGCAACACCACACCTAGCCTTTTGTTTTGTTTTGTTTCCCACTAAGAATCAAACTCAGGACCTTGTGCTTGCCAGGAAGGTGCTGTGCCTGCTGAGCTATATCCCCGGCCCTTAGAGGCTTTTAATTTTTATTTCTTTTTGGTACCAGTAATTGAACTCAAGACCTTGCGTTTGCCAGGCAGGCGCTGTGCCACTGAGCTATATCCCCAGCTCATTTCCACCATAAAATAAAACAGACTGAGAAGTTGTCTGTATTACATGCTCCTATAATGCTCTATACTTTTATATAATTACCTGCTTAAGGTCTATCTTGTTAGTTACATCTGAGTAGGGATTTGTCTATGATTTCTCCACTTCATCACTGGTATATAATACTATGCCTGGCAACAAGGAGATTTCCAAATAAATATGGACTGAAGGAATGAATGTAAAGGGTCAGGTGACCTGTCAAAAGCCACACTGTGTTTCTACCGGGATCTGAACTCTAGTCTGTCTGACTCCAGAACCTATGATCTATAGTCTACCCTACCAAGTACTTCTGGGGTATTTTTGTTGTTGTTGTTGTTGTTATTGTTTTGAGACAGAGTCTTGATATACAGCCTAGGCTGGCCTTCATCTCACTATGTAGTCCAGCCAGGCCTTGAAGTCATGGTAATCCTCCCGCCTCAGCCTCCCAAGTGTAGGGATTACAGGTATATGCCACTACATCCAGCCTCAAGAATCTTCATATGCTGTTTTATTTCTAAATCCCCTATATCTGTTGGTGTCCTGGTCTCAGCTATTTATGAGCACATATACACACTACCCACCAGAACTCACTATGCAGGAAATGCTACTAAGAAAGTAGGAAAAAGAAATAGCCCATCAGACTATGCTGTTTTCTTTCCTTTTCAGCTCAGCATCCTCCTCCTAAGCCTTTGCAGACTGCTCCACCTGATCATACATCTCCCTCTCCTCTCCTCTGGTTTTATTGCCCCTTCATGTATTATGCCATCACCAGGACTGTGACGGTTCTACACTTATTAGTAATATATTAAAACAACTGATTCCAGAGCCAGGCATGGTGGCACACACTTGTAATCCCAGCACTCAGGAGGCTGAGGCAGGAGAATCATTGCAAGTTTGTGACCAGCCTGGGCTACAAAGTGAGCTCAAGGCCAGCCTGAACTGCATAGTGAGACCCTGTCTCAAAAAGGCAAAAAAAAAAAAAAAAATTTGATTCCACAGATGTTTACTGCTGGCAAATGTGTGCTCGGGCCTGCCAGTGCCAGCCCAGTGGGTGGACACACAGATGAATCAGACACAACCTCAAAGGAGGAGACAGACATGAGGTATGGACACAATTTACTAGTGCACCAAGCAGGATGACCTAAGTAGTATTAAAGAACTATGAGCAATGTGCTATATGCATAAACCTTAATTACTTAATTATTATTCTAAAGAGTGTGAGCTCTGAGGTCAGAGCTCAAAGGTATCATCTACTTCAACCCTTTGTTTTCCACTGGAGGAGACTGAGATCCAAAGAAGGGTAGGGCCTGGCCTCAATCTCACTAGTCTGGCTGAGCCAAGACTAGACTGCAAGATCTTCTGAAACGCAGTCCTGGGCTCCTTCTTCCTCCTCTGGTAGCTTCATCGGCAATAGCCTCCTATGCCACCAGGCCAGGAGATGCTGGGTCTCCCTCCTGAACCCGGTCAAGTCAAGCCCAAGACAACAACAATCACAGGAAGTACAGTTTGACTGGCTGCCAATCTTGTCTCTTCAACTATGTTACCTAAGGTACTCTCACCACCCCTAACCTGACTTTCAAAAAATTTTTAGAGGAAATTAAAAAAAAAAACAAACTTCTCTAACCAGAACACTAGTATATAAATCAGAGAAAAAGAAAACTTTCTCTGGTTGTAGGGAGTGAGTCCAAAGCTGAAAACTCCACTATTTTCTTGCCTTTAGATCCTGGGAAAGGAACTCGAAGAAACACAGCCCAAAAAACTTTTTCTGGGATTTTTTTTTTTTTTTTTTTTTTGATACCGCCTCTGAGCTATATCCCCGCCTTTGAAAAAAAAACAACAACCAGGGTCTCACTATGTAGCTCAGCCTCCAATTTGTGGCAGTCCTCCTGCCTCAGCCTCCCCAGTGCTGGGATCACAGGTGTGCATCACCACACCAGGCCAATGGGATATAATTTTAATGGCTTCCCAGAAGCCATTTTAGTGCGTGGTCCGCCTCTGAACTCTGTCATTTATGGGACCCACAATCCTTTCTTCACCCATTAACCACCAAGCACCAGTCACAGGGTTCCCAGCAGGGTATGCAGGAGGACAAAATTTCCCCTTGTCCATCCTGCTCTCCTCTGCCTACGGAGAAGAGTTTATTGTAAAGGCTACGAGGACCATGGAAGATAAAGACCCACTTCTCCCTGGAAAGACATGGGTAGCTTCCTGGAGAAGGGTCTTGGAGAATTGAATCCACCCACTCAGAGTCACTGGTGAATCTGAGGAAGTTTCTAACGGCGCTTCTGATACAGCAGTCAGGCACTAACAGCAGGCCTTTTACACGCCTTCTCTATTATCTTCACAACTACCGGTGAAGAAATGATTTTACCTTGCACAGAATTGAGGCTCAGGAAGGTTAAACTACTTGTTTCCGGAATCGACCCTCCTCTTCATCTGGAAGACAGGCACCCTGTTTTAAACGCTCAGTTCTTTTCTCCCTTGCACGCAGCCCACAGCTCTGCACGTGGCAGGCGCTCAGAAAGTTGGCACTAAACCGAGGGTAATCGATTCTCAAAGTGAAGCTCCCACGCGCAAGACCTGGAAGCAGAAGCACCAGAGGGCGCCCACGAGTCCGCGCACCGGCCGGACCCCAGGGCCCAAGCCAGCCCTCAGCCCTGGGTGCGGCCCTTCGGCTGCGAGCCGCTGCGAGCCCCGGGGAGGACAGGGAGCAAAGGGAGCCCCACGTCCTGCGTGCGCTGAGCCCCCGCCCCCAGAGCTGAGGCGCGCGGAGCGGCAGGGTGCGGAACGACGACACGACATCCTGTTTTTGGGGCCCGCGACTCCGCCTGCGCCTCTGCTGATCGTGTCTTTCCCCGGGGTGCTGACGCCAGCTCCCCTTCTCCGCTCTCTCCACCCTCCCCAGGGGTCTGGGGCCTTTCCACCGCTGAATCACCACCTCCGCCACCCCCGGGGCTCAGGGCAGGGGTGGAGACTGCTCCAGCCTGCCGGATCACGGCTGTACCCCAGCCAGCCCGGGCCATGGCCACCGCTCGCTCGCTGGGCTTGGCTGAAGCCACCAGGCCTAGGGGCGCCTTCTCCGCACTCCCGCGGAGATCGGTGGGGATGAGATACTGGGGGGAAGCGGGCCGATTCCCGACGCCCAGCATACGGCCTCTGCTGGGTGGGCTGGCCGGGCGGAGACCAGAGGCCGGCCCTGGGGCAGCCGAGTCTAAATCCTCGGGGCGAGGGTGGGGAAAGCGGGGAGCGCGGGAGCCGGCCGGGGCGTAGCTTGCAGCTGAGACCCCGGCTGGAGGGCGGGTGGGCGCCGCGCGACCGCGGACTTCCTGGTGGCGCCTCGCCCCGCCCTGCCCT